ATTTTCTTTTTGTGGATCGATTGGTTTCTTTGGTGCTATCAAATGTTGAAATATCCCAATTAATACATGTCCCCAATTTCGTGTCGAACAAAATAAAGCTGCACCAGCATCATCCTAAAATCCTTTAGAAATGAGAAATAAAAAAATATAAAATAGTGAAGTTTGCTTAATATTTTATAAAAAACAATCGCCTCTAAATTAATAAACAAAAGAATTTAAATAACTTTTATTAATTCAGCTTTTTGATTTCTTTTATTTCTAAATTAGGATATTTGTTCCATAGCCTCAACCATACGGTTAGAGAAAATATTGCTGTAGCATTTTTTATTACAATATTTTCTTATTGCCCAGGGAAATGAAACTAATAAGGCACAATCATTCAATTATCAAATAGCAAAAATAGTGATATCATACAAATCTGTAACCGATTGAGATCGAAGAATACAAACATGCAATAATGTAATTCTTAATCCTTGAATAACTTTATTATATTTTTTAAATCTTTTCTTCAGGAATACGACTCATATATTATTCAAGTTGCAGCTTCTGCGATAGATCATTAGTCTAACTCATTACGGTCATTGCAACATAAGATATCAAATCTTTATGTCACTAGCTAGTTAATGTTTTACGTATCAAAGGATATAACTTCAATGAATTTTCTACGGCTACAGTAATAGCATGTCTTAATTGGTGAGGTTCTGCAATACCAACAAATTCACAACATGCCAACTGATTTAATGACGGCATCATGCCTACGGTAACTGAAAGATGCGCATTTCTGGGGAAATCCTCTAAATCAATTACAGAAGACAATGGAAATGAGCTGGTTGATGGGTCAACAATAATGTGGCCATCTCCCAACATAACAATATGAGCTGCTACACAAACATCATAAACTTGGATACCAGAATCGATTAGAGCCAAAGAAGAAGCTATTAAAGCGGCCGCCAAAACACCGCCATCATCATTGAGAACCGTTATTTCAACATCAATCTGTGCTTTACAAAATAGCTCCAAACAAATAATTGATCGCAACGCTGATTCTACAGCATTACGCATTCCACTGTTTTCTTTATTTGAAATTGAGGAAGAATTTGGACCTGAAATTCAAATAAACGGATTGAGAGGACGAATAACTAATACTCTTCCAACTGCATACTTCGTAATTTTTAATCAAACAATTATCCCACTGATGTAAACATCTTATAAAATACCCCTACCCAACTCCTTAACATTTGTCGCTTTATTTCTTTTTAATTTTATTCATTATACATGCTGCTGTTGGTGAGGAAAAAATACCATAAGCAGCATATCAAACTCCTCCAGAAGACTAATAACAAAATGAGGCAAATTTCTTCACCAAAAGAGTTTATATGTTATCAAAAATGGAAATCTATGAGAAGAAATATACTGGCTAGTGGCGAAGCAGGAATAATCATCCAAGAGATGCATTTGACATGATCAGTACTCTTCATTAGAATCATTATTTTAACATAATATAAGTGACGCTCATATTTCTATCCCTTTCTTGATAGTACTTAACCGTTCGTATAAAAGATTACTTTTTTCATAATTAGTGAATAAATTTTCTTATCTGCTAAGATATAATACTTCTAGTAGTGAATTAATTGCTTAGATGCTGCGATATTTAAATTTTATAATTGCTTAAAGCTGAGTAAAAAAAAAGTAATGTGCAATAAATACCTGTGACATCACTGCTTTCCGCTGAAACATTTTTCAGAAAAACACAAATTTGCCCCTCTGTTGGATCAACATCGACACTTTTCGTTATTTCTTTGGGACCGTCAACTGAGCAAATAATTTTCGTTGAACCAAATTCAACATAAACTGTACCTTTCTGATCATACAAACCACCTGTTTGCATCATAATAGATCGGAATGTATTCGGTGCGCTTTCCGAACTCGTCCCAGCTTTATCAATTTCTCTTCGTTTTAAAAGATTATTTAAGGGCACTGGCTTCACCGATAAATGTTGCATGATTTGATCTGGAAAAGAAAGAAAAAGCCCAATAAATTTAATAGCAGAATTTATTAGACAAATCGATTCAATATAATGGATAAAAAAGGATGTCTATTTGACTTAATCGATTATAAGATTAAATTTATTTACGATACCAATAATAAAGTTCAAGCACATATTCCCTATTAAAACAATCACTTGAAACTTCATTTGCTTATATAGTAATAAAATTTTATTCAAAAATGCTTAGTAAGCAAAAATCTTTTGACAAAATGTAAAATGATATTTTCAACAATTGGAAAAACTACAATATATTACATATCTAGAAAAACCATTAGAACCTAACTTTGCTATGGTAATAAGTGAACTTCAAAACAATATATGACTCATGTATCTAACAAAAAAAGAAAATAGAAAAAAGGTTAAACAATTTAAAAAAGCTGAACTGATCCACACTACTTGCATGACCACCTTGTTCCAGATTTGGTCCATACTTCATTTTCAGCCGTCCGTATGGCTTGTTCAAATAATGTTCAAAGATGTACGGTACTACGTACGTGAGCTGCACGTTGTGATTGTTGTACGTTTTACGTAATGGACGGGTGACAGGAAACGGAAATTACTGTGTCGTTGAAATGGCACAAGTGCGTTTACGAAAACAAACAGTGAAGAGAGAGAGAGAGACAGAGTGTCTGTGTGATATATTGAGATTGATAATATCCATCGAAATATTACATTGTGGGAGATGCATTGTAAAAAGACGAAACATGAATAAATAGGGATCGATGAAATTGTAAGAGATTCATGATGCCGTATGATATACGAAAATTTGGTTGCTATTCGCTCATTAGGATGACCGGAAAATGGATATTTATAGGAAAACATACTGAACAGTTTAATATTAATTAATTGTAACTAATTAGATTAAATTTAAAGGTGTAAACGTAATTAAAATAAGGATTAAGGTTGGATTAGGTTAGAGGGAGGTTAGAAAAATAGATAATCAGTTTACTATTAATTAGAGCTGAATAATTAATTTTAAATTTCTCTCAGTTAGCTCAACTGAAACTAATAGGTGACTTCGAAATTTCATGAAATCAGAGACTGTAACGCGTGTGGGTAGGAAACTAAGAGGAAGTACGTAGAATCAAATAAATTGCATTTAGCGCTTATATGGTCGTCAAATGCTTCAACCTGTATTAATTGACTAGTAGCTTACAGAGTGATGGGAATTTTTTTGATAACGTAAGTGATAACCAGGATAGTGGTTAAAAAACAATCTTAGATATCTTCCCGTGGAAACAGATATAATAAGATTCATTTGCTTTTCAAACGTCAACACTAGGCTTTTCTTCTTGATTGACTTAGGCACTTTCGACAGCTATGAAATTTTATCTTGTTTTATATTTTTTTGCAGCAACACAATTATCCTATTGTTTGAAGGAAAAGTTTAAGTGTTGAGCATTTCTTTCAAATCAATAAACTTTTTTTAGTGTTCGTTATGAGAATGATAAGATCCTAACAAGATATAAGATGAAAGAGAGAGAGAGAGAGAGAGACAGAAGTAACAGTATCTTCCGGTATTTTGAGGCTTTTGTGTTTTTGTTCGAAACAAGAAATTACTGACATTACTACTGACATTCTAATAGGTTACTGACATCTAATAGGTTACTGACATAATAGGTTACTGACATTCTAATAGGAAGTTACAACAGTGCATCAATAATTATGAGAATTTAATTTTAGCGTAAATGAATAAAATAAATTGATGATAGAAATCGGTATTACAGGTAAGTGATGCAGTTGTTTCCATTAACGTTGCAAGATATTCACGATATTTTTATCACGGACGAGACTGCTTTATCGTCTAAACATTTCATTTCTACAAATTGATTCATATATTAAGTTTTTAAAACATATTGTGTTGGCTTAAATTGAAACTATGATTCATTATGAATCCTTTCATAATTGAACTTTTTTTTTTTGAAACAATTAGCTTTTTTTATTTTATGAAGAAAAGATTGCTTAAGAAATCATTGGGAAAAGAGGAAAGGTGATGCTACAAATGATATAAACAAAAACAAACTTTCAAACAAATCGACGCCGGGTAGCCTTTTTTCTTCTTTTCCTGTCATCAACGTTCGATTAGCCAATATTTATATCTGAAATGAATGGAATTATTTTTTATGTGAGTAATAAATGTTTCATTGGTTTCCGGTGGAACCAAGTCTGCTCTCAGCAACGGTCCTTGTTTGTTTTGCTTGTCAAATTAGCGAGCAATCATCACTATCATTATCATCATTATCGATCGTATCATCTTTAATATCGCCAAACCTACCAATGTCGTCGTTATCATCACTAATAGTACCATGTTCTTCTGGAAATTATTTATCTGAAGTGAACCAAGAACTGTTTTTTGCTAAACGATCTATCGATAAGGTTAAGATTTTTCTGTCGAAATAATCTGTATTGAAATATCCTTTGAATGTCAGAGAGCTCATTAATTAACTCGCTATTTTTTTTTTGCTTTTTTAAAATTTTTATCATTATTTAAAAACATGCATATGAAAATAAAATTTAGCACTTCTATTTAACGGATATAAATGCGCTATTTGTTAATTTGTTAAAATTTGAAAAATTGTATTTCAGAAACGTCTAATTCAAACTCATCACAGTACCAAATACAATGTTAGATTTGGCAGATTAAGTAGCAGATCCACTCTTTCTAGTGATACAGGTGAAAACTAAAGTCGATTTATGACAATTCCATAAGCAATCAAAGATCTTTAAGAGCTTTGAAACTTTAGATTCGAAGTTTCAAAACTTAAATTCAGAACTTTAAATTTAAAATTTCTGAGGGTCCAAAAAAAGATTTTCGTCGTTTTTGCCGGATCCAAAATAGTGAATTGTTGGGCGCAATTGACATGCATTTTTAAGAACGCAGAAATGTCCGAAAAAGAAGAGCTACTGATCAAGATTGCAGTGCCGGATTATGTTGCTTGAAAAGTATATATTTTGATTTCCATGAACACGGTATGGACAATATCATCAGGCCATCAGGGTTTGTGCATTGGTTTCATTAATTTTAAGGAATGGTGGATTTCTTTCAGTGCAATTATCTCTAAAAGAAAAGAAGGACTGAAATTCCGGACTGGAAATTTCGAAACATGTACATCGACATTTCATTCTTAGATCCAAATGTTTGCCGCTAAAATTTCTATACAATTGATCATAAATTTAATTTTTATAGATTCAATATGAATTTTTGTGACGGCGAGTGCAATATACAAATTGGAACTAGTGATCGTGATGCGTTAATTTTGCAAGACGGAATAAATCATCCAGAAAGTCCATTCCTGAAAAGACTTTCATGTTGTGTACCGATTAGATGGTCATCAGTTGAGGTATGACTAATTACTGTCACTATTATTACTGTCATTTCAATACAATCAGTGTTAACATTACTGCCACTTCGATACAGTAAATATTAACATATTCCAGTATTAACAATTCATTCATCAATGAAAACTATAAATCTTTCTGATATAGTTTAAGCATAGGAATAAGGCATAATTTCAAAACTCCTTGTAATTTAGAAAGACTCTTTTATTCTCAATATACGCTAGCTACTGATTTGTTTCATTCGACAGCATTTAGCGGTGGTTTGTTGCAACTTTCCATGAAGAAATGGCAGCAGCAACGTTTCAGATTGTAGAAGAAAGAAATGGTACTGAATTTGATCGTATATTGGAAAATGTGAAAGTGATGGAATGTGGCTGTGCAATCTAGAATTTGCAGTCTGGTTGGTGGCGCGCAAGTTGTAGTATAAAAGTAAGTTAAAAGAAAAGAGGCTATTCGTATATCTTACATTTACAGTTGTATGAACTCATGATGGAAGGAAAAGATCAAAAGCCACATAGCCTAAATAGAAAACTTTTGCAATTAAAGTATTTCTTCAAAAGCTTTACAGCATATAAATAAAACTTGTAAATAATATCTAAGAAAAATTAGGACATGAAATATTGGACATTATCTCCTCAACAAATACATAAGTCAAGAAGATAGTTTCATGATTTATCACATGAACTTCATTTCCTGAAGATCACAGCAATTAGACATTCCAGAGTTATGACGGCTGTAGCAATGAATGACGAAAACATCCATGATTCTAATGCACCCGGTAGATTTTTATGATGCATCAGTCATTTCGTCATAAAGTCCGATGAGAATGCAAGTTTCATAAGACGCAGGAAAGGAAGTTTCAATTTGCAAGTTTCAATTCTTATTCCTATCTTTTTGAATTGATTTTGATGGTTCATGCTCTAATTCTTAGGTAAGCTTGTAGCAATTTCTGGTCATTTTACTCTTCACAATTTATCATTAATTTATAGAATAATGCTTTTCAGACTTTGTAGCTCACATTGTCTGTATTATATTTGTAGTCACCTTTATAAATTCAATCTTATCATCAATCAATATTACTATTTATCGGTGAATCAAAAGCATATATCTCTATTTATTTGCAGGTAGTTTCAAAAATTTAGGGAAGTTTGTGCTATTAACAAACTTTGTATTATTTTTAAAAATAATTCACATATGGATTAATTTTGAAAAATTTTGCTTTCATTGACAGCGATAATTACAATTTCTTATAAATGTCATAGTTTTAGAGCGATAAATTATTAAGACGGCATTTTCCAATGTGAAATTAGCATTTTTGACATAGGTTTGTCATTTTCCTCCTACAAAAACTTTTATTTCTCGATTTTTTTTGCTGTTTCTCTTTCCACTGTTATATTTAAATTCAAATATATTATAACAGATTAATAAAATTATTGTTATTGAATTATTTTTCATCTGGCGTTCAGCCGTTTTGAAATGTTTGACAAATTATTCAAAGAGCCATATCGCGAAGAACGAAGAATTCGGCTTGGCCGTTCAAAATTTATTGATATTTTCTTCTACAGCGGTGTTTACGATTACCATTGGCTAAGGATATTAATTAACTTTCCTATTGGATTTCTAATCGCTTTTTTGCTCTACAAATTTGGTTAATCCGTTGAAAACCTTTTTTTTTTAATTCAACACCAAATTTCAATAAAACTTTTTGAAACATATTAAAATACAATCAAAGTTTAATTTCTTTACATATTATTAATATTATACTTACCTTATTCAATTTAGAAGTAATTTATCTGATAAAATTGTCTTCTAATCAAAAGATTAAATTGAAGCATTTCGTGAGGAATAATTAGCAATCCATTAATTTAATTTTCTAAACATTCAACATCAATAAAAATTTTAGCATTATAGCCTGGCATCAAATTAATTTTGCTGAGTTTGATAAAATTGCGGAACAAATCTTAAAATGGTCACTTATTCTGGCATGTGCGATAACATTTGCAATTAGTCCGGTAGCTGCTTTTTCAACCAAATTTTTATACCAACCAAAATATTCTTGAAATAAAACGATTAGATCAGTTTTAAAATTTTATGAAATTTCAGTAAAATTATATTAAAAATTTGAATAATTAAAACAATGAGAAGATTCTTTATAGCTATTTCGCTGCGCAATCATCTGCGTTCTCTTTGGTGCCTTGGGTAAAAATGGTCAAAATCTTTTGACAGTTATAGTTTTCAATAGCTTAAGTGCTGGTCCGATTGAAAATATTGTGGAAAATTTTCAAGTCAGTACAAATATGATTACCTGTCATATCAAGCAAAAAGAAGACATGATGACACAACGTATTGTTATGGCCACTGGCCCAATTGAAAGTTTTATGGCCAAAGAGTTTGGTCAGTTCAGTTACCGAAAGAATTATAAGTGATATATTCGAAAATAAAAATACTCATTTAAAAAGATATTTTTGTTGGTTAAAAATATTGTGGAAGTGTTTGAAAGCGAGAAACTTTTTTAGGTTGAAAATTTGGAAATATATGCAGAAAATCTGACAAGTAAAATTGGCAGTTTCAAAAGCTAATTTAAAAAATTTTTTGCAACTCTTTCGATTAGCAATTCCTTTATTGTCAATTTATAATTTAATTTCTTTGAATGAATCATAAATGACTGATACAAAAATCTTCTTTTAATTATCATTCTGATTTCTAATTATTTCGGTACAGATGAAAATATTGTACGGTGGAAAATAATTGATTTCAGGTAAATCAACTTCAAAAGGACGAAAAGTGATAGCAATGTTAAAATCGTTGGTAGAACCAATTGAATATGATTTCACGTTAAGTGATGAAGATAGGGCCTTGGCAGCAACAATTGATGCTGCTGAGGTTCAACAATTAAATTTTACTTGCTTCATTAAATATATTTATGCTAAGATAGAAATTTGATATGAATTAAAAAAAGACTCTCTCAGATAATTTCAAATATTCTTTTGTAAATTTCATAACAAAATCTTTTAATCATTTCCAACATTATTTCGGGATTACTCAAGAAGAAATTGTTTTGTGAATTGATTTGTTAATTATGAATGATTGATAGTAATTACTTTCAAGAAGAAGTAATTTTCATTATGATTAAGAACATTTCAGTACTACTACTAAATATTATTTGTAAGAGTGGTAATATAACTTGGAAGTGTTAAAATTTTATTTATCATCAAATTTCATTATCCGCTTCTTTAAAATAAATTATGATATATCACTCTTTATTAAGGCTCTACAAAGGCGTGATACATTGCTTAATAAAGAACCAGAAAATGTAAAAGAAGATGCAGAAAATAAAATGCAGAAATCCGCACCACCGGCCTGGAATAAATTAAAATCAAAAGTGAGATTCATTTCATCAAATAAGAAAAATTATGAATTTTGAAATTTATACGGTAATTCGAATAATAATTGAAATATTTTTGTCTAATTAAAATATTCCAATTAAACAAGGAAATTACGAAAATATAATTGATAGTATGATATAATAACAAATTGATATCACAAAAATAAGATAATACTTCGCAACTATTTGATAATAAATTTACCTTTTCTATCTGAAATTATTAAGCTTTCCAAATTGCTATCAATACGTATGCACTATCAATGTAATGAAGTCTTCGATAAAGGAGTGAAGAAATGTCATGATACATTTCGTGATATGAAGGTATTATCTTTATCGCTTCATCAAATGCAATCTTAGAAATGAAAATGATTAGTCAATATGAAATATTTTTGGCTTTAGGAATTATTTCAATGTGTATAAAATTTATATTAAACAAAAGCTTTATTTTAGTGGAAAATTTATTTTACAATTAAATTGTGCAACAAAAAAAAGAAAGATCGAAAATGCGATAATTTAAAAATTCATTCGATAAATATCGGATACGATTATATTTCCAGAATAAATGTTATTCCATTCTATGGTTTTTACCGTTATTCAAAGGACATATTTGTGATAAATTTGATACTCTTCAAATATGCCAAGTTTCAAAAAAGGTTGTCGAATTTTTTTCAAATTTGTAGATAGTTATTTATGTGTTCATTTAAATGATACGATTGTTACGTTTAAGATAAAAAGTAAAAACTAAATAATTTTCTATCTTTCTATTCAACAATCGATTAGTCGAATTATTTTGAAGTGTGAAAATTTAACTCTTACATTTCAACATTTGCAAATGATATGAATTGAAGGTAACTGAAGCGCTTACATTTTGTGATCAAATGACCAATCAGGTGTTATCAAGGACGAAAAATTTAGACAGCTATTTAACAGATGTTCATAATTTAACCGAAGATATTATGGATCATCTTCGTGTCAATGTAAGATTTCTTTTTTGTAATTAAACAAAGTTTTAATAATAAATATAAGGTGGGATAATTTCAGATGCATTATCGGGCAATTGTTGAACCTCGCAATGTACGAATTTATGGGATAAAAGAAGTGAAATATCGAATCGCTCAAAATTTTCGCTTATTAAAAGTAAATTTCTTAATAAGATTACTTAGAGGTTTTTGTTTTAAAATCAATGCTATAAATAGTATTATTAGTTTAAGTTTTGGGATAGTAAATAACAATGTACCTTTAAGAAACTGTCACTAAAATGATGCATGAAATACTGTAATAAGCAAACTCTTAATGATATATTTATGCTCAATCTAAAGGTCTAGTCGATATTTCAAAATCAATAGGAAGATAGCATTATTTGTTTATGGTAAATTTTTAATAATTACGAAACAAAAAATTTTCCAGATAATATTGATAACATTAAAACAAATTTTGGGTTGCTTATTTGTTCTTATGATTTATACTATATTTCGTGATTCTGTCACAATGATACGTAATTATTTGAATGATATTGATTTTAACAATGTTTATTTGACACCTTATTTTTGGCATATTGATCGTAAACGTCAAAATGAGAAGAAAATATTTCTATATCCATTAAGTAAAGCTGAAATGCGTGCAAATAATTTAATGACACCAATTTCGTAAGTTTCTTTTGTAAAAAAATATTTTTTGAAAACTACAAATTTTAACAATGTTTATTTGACACCCTAAGTTTTGATGATTAAATATATATTCAATCGTTGTACGTAGTAAATATTGATTTAACTTTTTTATCTTTGAAGTAAGTAATAAATTTTAGGCCTCCAACAAAAGCAGAAATACGCGCTTCATGGTTACCACTTGCAAAATTCACTTTTTTACTTATTACCGCTTCATTTGTTGTATTTATCGATTTTGTCTTATACAAAGTTATTTATAATGTAAGTATTGGTTACCATTACAGATACATGACAATGAAATTCATTTAGCTATTAAAAAAATTGCGGAAAATTTTCTGCAATTTGTAGTAAGTGAGGGTAATGAATCATAATATTTTTAGTCGCTAAAAATTTAAATTTATTCAATTGTTTTAATTCATTTAAATCCGTATTTGTTGCAGATTTCGAAATATACATCAAAATATGTAACAAGCGAGAATCAACAATTCTTCAGCTTTAAGGTATCATTTGAAAAAAGTTTGAATAGGTTTTTGTTGTTAACTTTCTAAAATTATTTATATCACAAGATTAAAAGATTGAAATATTTTTATTATCAGACATTTTTGGTAATATTTATATATGTGGCAAATATAAAATGATAATATTTGATATATGATAATATATGATAATATTTGATAACATAAAATTGATTATTTGATAATATTTCTCTTGAAACTATTTATGATCATTAATTATATCTCAGAAAAATACCAAATGAAAAGAATCGTTTCATTCAGATTGATGGAACTGGATTTATAGCTGATTTAGTGAAAGAAATGATCAATTTTGATTATCATAGCTATAGAAATATGACAATTTCGCTAGAGGAATGTATTTATAATCCGGTATCTCCGGATTGGTCATATGCCGGAAAATATATTTTCTTCCCTCTTGGAATTATGTTTCTTCTTCAGGTATGAATAAATGAAATTCACACATTATATTTCATGAGACTAATCTAAAATTTTCCAATTTTTTTGTGTTTGTGTCAAATTTCGAAAAACAAAGAATAAAATAAATGTGGTAGAAATGAATGAATCAATGTGAACTGAATAGAAGTAAACTAATAAACGAATCGATATGAACTGAATAGAAGTAAACTAAAGTGATTTAATTTCAACAGAATGATCCATTTTAAGAGCTACTGCTAAATTTTATTCTAATCCATTTTAAGAGCTGTTGATAAATTTTATTTGTATTAGATGTTACTATGCTTTAAATTAAATAATTTTGCAACACAGTTCAAAGAATTCTCATTTTGAAGATTTATTAGAACTAGGTAATACGTTTAATTATATAACCAAATGCAACCCTTAATTACATAACCAAATTAAATAATTTAAATAATTTAGATAATTAAATAATTAAATAATAATTAAATAATAAATAATAATTGAATAATAATTTAAATAATAATTAAATAATTTCAGGTTGTATTTGGTTATGTAATTAAACGTATTACTCTTTTTTGCGTGATTGCAAATATTTTTCGAAAACGTAACAAAGCACGTATCATACATCTCTACAACAAAATGTTATTTGTACGTACAAATGCTCGGAAGTTAGCAAGAGCACGCATACGTTTTCAAGTGGAACGGCGAATTTTACAACGTGAAGAAATTCGAAAAAAAAGGTAACTGATTGCTATGTAACAATGAAATTGCATAACTTCATTATACCTAAATGTTTAGCTACAGATATTAGTGATTAATTTTTCAAATGTACCCGATGATGTCAATTGACTTCTACGTAAAAACGTTACGTAAATAGTGTTTGACGTATTGTAAATTAAGCTTTAGCAAATCACTGCAACACTCATTATATTGAGATGACGTAGCATTGTAAAAATTTGACGTATTAAATGATCAAACGCCAAAATGGTCATTTTACTTCAGTAAATTATTTGCCGATACGATAATTGAAATAATATTTTAAGCTTAGCAATCACTGCAACACTTATTATATTGGGGTGACTGACGTAGCATTGGAGAAATTTGACATAGTAAATGATCAAACGCTAAAACGGCACTTTACTTCAGTAAATTATTTGCCGATACGATAATTGAAAAAATTCTGGATTTCCTGTTCAAAACTGGAATGTGTTTAATGTGTGAAGTAAAGTATTATAAGAGAAGTTTAATTTATTGTTCGAATTGCCCAGCTGCATACTGTACTGTATGCTATCAAGAAAACTATAAAATATGTTATGCATGCTTGGTTAGTATTATATATTCTTTAAATTTAAATTTTCGACAAAAAATTATTAGAATTATTCAACAGTAGATTTAATAGTACGTATACTACAGTTACGTATAGGGGCGATATTAAAGTTATAGTTGTAGTTGTAACTTTCAAAAATATTTTTTATGTTCTTTGCTTTTCTTCCGACTTCAATCATATATTAATTTGATCAGTTTGTAGAACAACAATTAGATAAGTTTATTCTATTCCGTATCATTCTGGGTTATCATTTTTACTTTACTTCTTCGTTGCAATATATTTTTAAAAATATACAGCAGCACTTTTATTCAATATAAATTTACGACGAATAAGAAGCATTTAAGGTCATATACATTTGGCATTAGATGGAAATCGAACAAATTCTTCATATTTGAATGACCCAAAGAATCTTTTAATACATGAAGTTTTCGGAAATTAATGATAATGTTGTGATAGATATTTTGAGCATCAATTAATTATACAGGTATAGAGCGGTCTTGAACAAAAATGGGAAACTAGTATTATGATAAAGTGTGGATTAATTTAAATAAAATTAATTGACATGATAGTTGAAAAACTTTAGGCAAAAGAAGGAGAAGTTTCATCAACAAAGACAACATTTATTCCAGCAAATGCGCTGAAAATCGAAATATTGGAAACTTCGCCAATCAAATGAACGATATATAATTATTGTTGTAATTTTAATTGTTATTTATTTACATCTATATATTTTATTTTATGAATACATTTTTGATCAAATAGGAAAATAAATAAAGTGATAAAACTAACTGATAAAGTCAAAGTTCATTTTAATACGTAATAAAATTTCTCAGGAAAACTTGTTTACGAAATACATGTTATCTTTTACATGAATTATTATAGATTAGATACTACCTGAGGTTAATATTTCTCGAAGGTATTTTATCCCGCAGATGAAATAAAATTAAATTTGCTTATTCAAAATTTTTATCTAAATCATGCTTCTCTCTTTTTTGAATTTAATTTTTAGCGACCTGTAGTTGCGCTATTTAATTACTTTTAATAATTTGGTACACTACAAGTCTCTCAATATATTCATCATTTTTTTTTGAATTTAATTTTGAGCGACCTGTAGTTGTGCAATTTAATTACTTTTAATAATTAATTACACTTCAGGTATTTTTCAATGATAAATATAAATGTAAAATTATTGAACGTATCGAAGATATGTTTGTAGTTTTTCGAAATATCAAACAAATATTGAAACTTTAAGAAAGATTATATTAGCAAAAAAGAAATTATTAATTGTCTATTTGAAGTAAAATAATTTTTGGTAGCAAAATATGTGTGTCATTTGCAATCCTTTTATGCCTGTCAGCAATTAAACCAAAAATAAATGTGCCTATAGCATTATTATTTCATAAATAAAATGGGTGCCTATAAACGAGCAACACAATGAATTCTTTTTATTACATACATTTGCTAGAAAGAAACAGATAGCAAATGTTTTCGATTTCTTCTGTGTTTTGTAAAATAGCATTTGTTGTGAATTTTATGGTTGTAAATGATACGATGATATTAGCTGTATCAGAGAATATGTTATCAGTATGGGAATATGAAGATTTTGTACTTGAACGTTATAAGCAACATTTAATCGAACCAATGAAGGTATTATTAATTTGAATAATTAATTGAAAATAATCATATTAACAGATAAAGGTATGATATGTTAAATTTATTCAAAAAATTTGATTTAAACCAATTTCATGGTTACTCGGCATAAGTAAATTTTTTATCATATAGGATTAATTTATCATTCTTAATATCTTGTTCTTTTCTTTCAGAATCTTTTATCAACTGATAGCGATTTAGATCAAACGTTGAAAAATGTTGTAATTGAAACGAATGATACTATCGATGGTTTTACGAAGTATCGATCAATCATTAAAGGCGTCAAAGATAGAAAATTTTGAACTGATCAAATTTATGAGCAAAGATTCTTTCTTTTTTAAAGAGCGAATCCTTTTATACTTTATTGAATTTTGCTTGCTACTTTTATTCTATAAAGAAAATATACTCATATTTACTCAATCTCATATGCTGAAATTTCATCTCATAACAGTAGCAAGTAATTATTTTCAAATTTAGCATGCTCTGATTTCAACATCCTTTGCTATCAGTTCCAATTCAAATGGCTATTATCAATTTTTAACAAACAAGGAAAGAATGTTCATATTATTACGACAATTGTTGATCTAAATATTGTGGGTAGAAAAAATTTACGAATTTTCATCGATGATATTAAGCCAGCAAGATTAAGTTATGCAACTTTTGATTTGAGCAAAGAAATGAAAAAGTGGTTGAAGGATGAAAGAGAAGAAGCGATAATCCGAGTAATTCTTATTTATTGATATTCTTTATTTCATGATCATTTTGGTGATAAAAGAATTCATTGAATAACAATATCTCTTTTTAATTTTGACAAGCTATGATTACATTTGAACTGCTGGCAAATAGTTCAAATTTAAAAAGAAATAAAATTTTTAAATTAAGCTGCTCTTCGTAAAGCAAAAAATGTGATGGATGATATTTGAAGTTACGCTGTAACAATCGATGTCCAGAATCAATACGTCCAATCTTATTCATAAAAGCAAAAATATTGCAAAACTCTCGTCAAAAACGTGGAATTCGACGCGATCAAGATTGTTCAAATCGGAAGTGCTGCCTCAAATCGCGATATTTTCAATTTCGAAATAGTGGTTTCGAGCAAATAACAACACCAGATGGGTATTTTAACTTAATCATTTCCAGTAAAAATTAGTGCACTAATGAGATTATTGATGGCTAAGACGTATATTGCAAGAAATAACACTTAATTATTTAATTATATTTAGTTCAATGTTATTATTGCTATTGTTGTTGTATTGTTGCATATTTTGCATTATATTTGATTTAATGTAAGTTTTGAAAGATCAAATTTAGATTCCTAATGAATTTCTGTGATGGAATCTGTGATCAGACTCTTGTTCCGGCTACAAACGATCGCAATGCTTTAGTACAAGCGATGAAAATTTCAAATTTACGTTTTAATCCATTCAAAAACAAATGGGTATGCTGTGTACCGATCAAATTTACATCAATCAATGTAAGTATTATAAAATAATGAAAAACGTTTTACAGCCTCATCAATAGTCCGATGTGTTATAAAATAATGAAAGACATTCATTATACAGCCGATAACCAGCCAAAGTTTCGGTAGTAATATAGTGCTTTCATATTTCTTGCTAGGCTACTAAACTGAAATAATGCTTCATATCCTTTTATGACCTGTTTTCCTTTTTCAGGTCGCTGAGCAATACAATAATGGCATACAGCGATCGATTCCTTTAAAAAATATCAAAGTTGAAGAATGCGATTGTGTGATATAAATTATTTTATAAATCATTTTGTATTTCCGTGCTTGAACATATAAAAGTTATAAATATGTTAATTTAATAAAACATTTTTGTCCAAAGTTGATTAACATGATATCATGATTCAAATATGTAAATTTTAAATCATTGCGATCATCATCTTAATAATTCCTTTCGTAATTCAATGGTCATTTCTAATTTCCCTCACCCACTTTTACTAAATAAATGGATGGATGGATGGAGCACAAATGAACTTCAAATTATTGTTGAAATTGTAGCATAAACTTATTGACAAATATTTGAGCATTCCTCATCACTCGAATTTTCCATAATACAGGATGGAGCACAAATGAACTTCAAATTATTGCTGAAATTGTAGCATAAACTTATTGACAAATATTTAAGCATTCCTTATCACTCGAATTTTGCACAATACAAATAAAGATTATCAATGTCGTAAATGTAAATATATCATAAGAAACGGTGAAATAAATAATAATTTCATATAAATATCCAACTACCACTAATTTGCAATTTATTTTTTGACAATAAATTGCAATTTTTTTTTTTGACAATATTTGAAAATTATTTATTGCTAAAAGTTTTTACCTTTTCCATTCATTGGGCTGAAGTGCACTTAAGGCTTAATCGACCATACTTTGTCCTTAATTCATCTTTCATTTACCACTTTTGGGACAATCATTTCTTTGGCTCTATAAATTGAAATTGATTGAACGAAAAGGTCGCATTCAGGATTGAAATAACAGAAATGAAAGGTGGTAATAATGTTATAAGGGGGCATTAACATCACAATAGCTACGTAGATGGGAAAGTAATGGAGGACGACAGATCGAACGGCCGACAGAAGAGTAACAAACTTTTAGTAGGAATGAACACTCATTTTATTTTCTGATATAATTTTATATTATTTATTTTTATAAATTTAAATATTACTTAACTATATAAATAGTTTAAACTCTTATTTATAGAAATTTTTATTTCTTCCAAATACGTTTAAAAAGTAAATAAAAGCCTTTCGTCTTCTCATATTTATAACTTTATTTTGTTGCAAAAAATTTATTCCTGCAAAAATTTTTATTAAAGAGGTTAAAGTTCGAATCATGATTATAGCATGATTTAATTATAGGATTACAATAATTTTTAGACTTTATCCTGATAGCATTTCTGTTTTTGATAGTATACATATGAAAAGACTAAGTAAAGGTCACATGATTAGTTATATGGCCATAAAGCATTACATGTAGAATATTTGCGTCTAACAAAGAGTTAACCTTTACAACAGATTAAATTTGCTGTGCTTCATTCTTATTCGAATAAGAAGAATTAATTGATTGTTTGATATGTAAATAATTTAAATTCATTATTTGCAGTAAGTTCATACTTCTTTTTGTTAGTAAGGTTAAAGGTCGACTAAAAGCTATCATATCATTTTACTGATAGTATATTGAAAAGCTTTGCGAATAATTTTCCTAGCAGCTTGATTATTTTGTTTGCGAAAAATTTTTTGAAGGTTCTTTCAATGATGATTACTCAACCAAGATGACATTGTTGATTTGTAAATATTTCGAAATAGTAAAAGATTGAAAAATTTTTTTCAATGCCAAAATAGAAATTACATTTATGAGAATGTTTGACTTAAAATGTAAATGCGATCGTCGAGTAATTTTAGCATAATGGAAGAATGAAAAGTGGAAATGATTATTGGATCATATTTAGGTTATGTACATTTTTTTTTCCCTTTTCATATTATCAAAATGGCTACAGCTGCATGGGGGTATGATTTTCTGTTCAGTTTTGAAATATTTGAAAAGCCATTTCATTTCAAAATGAATCGTTAAAAATCACGTAGATTAGATAAAATATATTTAGGCTAAATGATTTAATATCAAACTGGATTATTTTCATCGAATATTATTTGTGTAGAAAAGTTAATGAAAATTGAAGTTGTATTATCACAAGTATAAACTGTTTAGAAAAACAAGTGCTACAGCAACACGGGGGTATGATTTTCTGTTTAGTTTTTGAAATATTTGAAAAGCCATTTCATTTCAAAATGAATCGTTAAAAATCACGTAGATTAGATAAAATATATTTAGGCTAAATGATTTAATGTCAAATTGAATTATATTTTCATCGAATATTATTTGTGTAGAAAAGTTAGTGAAAGTGTTGAACTTGCATTATCACAAGTATAAACTGTTTAGAAAAACAAGTTCAGATGGTTATCGTCAAATTTTTATTTATATTTAGATGAGTTTTGTTTGTTGAAAAAAAATGGAGTGAATTAAAATTTTTTGTTGTTGATGTAACAAAAACGTATCATAAACAAGTTCTCACTTTTATCGAATAAAAATGAAATCAATTTAATCCTCAATCCACTACACAAAAATAAATTGCACCATTGATTGAATGAATAATAAGTGATAGTTTAAAAGCTTGCTCATATTCATTCCATTTCTCCCTGATATCATAATATTTCAATTAGCAAAACTATTAATTATTTTATTCAAACTATGATTTGATTAAATTAAATGATATTAATAATTTGCATATAGGTGTTTCTCATTAATTCAAATGAACAAATCTTCGCCAGTAATGTTTTCAACATCTTTCTTTCTACCTTCATAATTGGCCATAATCATTCTATCCTTTTCTCCATTTTATTATCATTTCCATTCGTGAATTAGAAAAGGTCACAGCTTATAGTGACATGACAATGTTGGAGATAAAATGAAATGGATTGTTATTGTTGTGATTTTATCAACATGTTCGAGTTAATTTATATTCATTATTCGGTGCTGCCAAAAGAGTCAAAATTATCGATATCAAATCAGACAATATTGTACAATCGTACGTTGTACAATTTCTAATCAATTTTGAAAGCTTTACTTTACATAATGTTCCGATTATAAAGCAACCCAAAAGCTACTGTCATCAATATTTTCCGCCGAAATCATCCCTAATATTTTGCTCACAAATTTGCTTTCAAATTTGTAAACCAAATTTTCCACTCAGAACAGTTCCCTGTTTTCTGCATTTTGAAATGGTATGAAATCAAGTATGAAAAAAATCTTTTAAATTTATTGAAAATTTTCATAAAACTCTTTCCACTCTTCCTTTAAATAATTTTCGTGCAACGTATTGAGTGGATTGATGAAGCATAGAAGAAGTAATTATGATAAGGTCATTCGGATGACCTGAAATGCAGAATTCTCGCTACTCTACTGGATTATTAATGTTTGATTTTGTTAATTATATTTGTTACTTAAATGTGCTACCTTCTGGATTACAAGCGTTAATTATATATTTTAATTGAACTGTTATTTGAATTAATGGTTTAAAATTAGGTGAAATTATAATAACACTTTAATAACTGCTTTAGAAGTTAAATTTATATCAAGATGTTGTTTAAGTTTAAGATGAAATATGTTAAAGATGATTTTCTAATATTCTCATCCAGAATTTCGTATTAATTCAACAAAAATATATTATGGATTTCAGATACTATATATTGTCCTTTTCGTTTCACGGAAGATATGTTTGCAAGTGTAAAACGAGGTTAAACGTACACTGTTCTCACGAATAATCTTATCATTTCATATATTATCAACAATATATCATTTTTGCCTAACTGTCTACCTAACTCTCTGCCCATATCCTTCTTCCTATATTATTATTTACTGATAATTGTCAAGAAGAAAATTGGGTAACGGATCAATTCTGATATTATAATATCATTCTGTAGTGTATGCGCATGTGTGTTTGTATCTATCGGTTATGATGAACTGCATTGTAGACGGTCGATCGTGTAGTTTTATAATTGCACTGATCGCAATTAACTCTATAGTCTATACATATTCAATGCCACAACAAAAATCTTATCAACAGGTACTCATCAAATTTTTTTATTACTTTGTTATATTCACATAAAATTACTTCAATTTTATCTTTATCATAATAATTGCAATCATTTTAGTAAATCAATTTTTAAATCTAATAAACCGTTATCATATCTGATAAGTAACATTATTTATCATATGTAGCAAGAAATGTCTAAGATATATCTTTTTCATAATAATTGCAATCATTTTAGTAAATCAGTTTTTAAATCTAATAAACCGTTATCATATCTGATAAGTAACATTATTTATCATATACTATCTTAGATAGATAAATGCTTGGCATTATTTTCTCTAGTAAAGATAGGCGATAAATGTCGATAAGTAGTCCGGCGATAACTGTCCATAAATAGTCCAGGAATTGCTATTACTAGTCCGATGAAGGAAGTGATAAAAGTTTTCTGCTGTATTTAAAATGATAATTTCTAAATGGAACAATTTTAAATCTTTAATCGTCAAAAGTTGAATTAGCATACGAATTATTTAGAAGTGAAATTTGTTCCATTCATATCTTCCATCTTTATGCATTATTGTTGAAATAATTCGAAAACGAAAAAAAGATAAGATAATCAAATTATCAATTTCAAATCGGCACATCTTTATATTATTAATCAGTTTGGAGAGTTTTTTTTACTATTTGAAATAAAAGAGGAATTTTTGAAGGACAATAAATTTTTAACTTTCTTTCTTCTATTCAATAAAATAATTGCCAGCTATCCATTATTCCATGGATACATACACATATATGACAGCTGAAAAATTTAATACGCTTAATTTGTCATTATCTTTTAAAAAATCATTTCATCAAAAAAAAAGTTTCAATTACATCTTTCATTTCGAAGTCATGTATATATGATAAGAAGGCAATTTTAAATGATTCATCAATTTTCTCCAAATTAATCATTAATCATTTTCATGAGAATCAAGAAGATAAGAGTTAAATGAATGGTTGGTAATTATTTCAAAATTTATCAATAATTTTTGATAAATGTTATTTACAGCTTGATTCAATGATAAAACGATGTTTTCGTACAATTTGTAGAGATTGGATACATGAATGTCATTGGTTTTGTGATTTAGCAAAAGGAAAGGTTC